CTATCAAAAGCACAGAGCGTTTCTGTTCCAATCAAATACCAGAGAATTTCTAAAGACAGGAAATTGCTTGCTGTGTTGTTTGCGTTTCTGAACAACGTTTACATGGATTTGTAAAATTTATCGGCTGTTATCGTGCGCACTAATTTAATGCTATATTCATCAGTTATACGACTAACGACATTTTAATGTGTTTATCAAATCGCAAACTCAAAAAAAACTCCGCAAAATCAAGATTAGTTCATTTAAAATGGCTGTTCCACTCTAGGATACACTGTAAATTTTAACAAGAACCACTTCGTGGAACATACCGTGTCCAGGTTACGCTAAGTGTACAGAATTAAATTTTGCCGTAAAATATCATATTTTTACCAGCGCCGCGATCGATTTGATAGATTTTGCGTATGATCTTTTGACACTCATTTTTTTAATATAGTTATCACACAGCGAAAATTTATCACTCCGATTGCATTGGCATTTTCCTCAGAGAATTTTTAAGATGAAAGTTTGCTTTGCATTTTGAAACAAAAAAAAGTTAAAGAAGAGAAATGGGAAAAATTGTTTAGAAGCTGCTCGAGTTGATCCAGACTGAGATCGTCAGTTCAACGACGCTATTCAAGTATGATCTTGTGTGTAAAATATGTAAAACAAATATCTACATTGAAAATAAGAATAARTTTATTTCAGTAAAAAAAGAAAAAAAGGAAAGAAAAAGAAAAATCWAATCGCTTAGTCGAGAATCGAACCCGCGCTATTCGAGTACGATAGCAGCGATCATCTGTGTAAAAATCYTGTACACGATAGTAATAAACTATAMATTTTTATGCAATGGCTGTAAATGTATAGTTCTTGAGAGGCTGTCAAGCAATATAGTCTCCTTATGCCCGACAAAAGGGTAGGCTGCGAAGGAGAATAGGCATGCAAGCAAAACCACAGCGATAACGTCATCAAAGGCATGGGCTATTGCCCGTTCCGAAATTCAAAAAGGGACTGGTGACTAGTCACAAACTCGCTACCGTTTGATGCAATGGAAAAATAGATACCAGGACAAGAAAGAGCATACTAAAATTAGTAAAGTTGCTGAGTTTGAGTGTATTCGGATTAATATTTACAGAGTTACAACCGTTTAAAACTCCAAAAAATACAAAGAATGTATGGAGCACTTGAGCAGCGTCCCCATGAAAAACCATACATTCTCTCTTATTTTTCTTATTTTTCCTATTGTTCTTATTCAACAAAATAGTCTCAAACTTGACAAGAACACTAATTATTGTGTGGTATTTCATGTGGTGAGATAAGTGGACTATTTTCATACTCGTTCCCAGTCTCCCTTTAAATTTCGGAATGGCCAATTAATTATCTTGACGGTCTCCCTSTGTTTATAAGATGGCGTCGTCTACATCAAAGCGAAAGTATTGTGATCATTGTAATGAGTTTGTTTCCTYGAGAACCCATAGSCASCACGTTGATTTATACTTTGATAAGAAATCGAATAAGTGGCAAGTAAGTAACGATTCGTCGGACGAAGAAGTACTAAACGATGAGATTCGCGAGACTTTTGATGAACAACACGAAGTTGAAGATCTAGCTGAACAAGGCAAGCTATAATTCACAAGCAAATGGTTCATTTGTTTTATCCT